TAACCGGATCAGAGTAACATTAAGTACAGTCCACGGCATATCACATCATAATGTATCATATATCTCCTTATCTGAGTCAGCTGAGCCGTATCTGGCCGTGCAACACTCACAGTGTCACATACTGTATGCAGAAGTATTATTTTAAGCAACACATTAAGTTGACGAAACACTCAAGACAAATGTAATTAAAGTCAGATCCACTCGTGTCTTAGACGGGGCAGTGATATCATAAACCTGTTAATGTACGCATTCAAACACTTGTTCTTGTACCAGCTGTATTCACCTTGCAGGTGCAGCTATGTGGCTTTGATCCTGGATAAAGTGTTTAAGTCATGGATGTTTAAAGTTTAACTTCTTCATATTTGTCTAATATTAAAGTTCACTTTTCATTCAGGAAGTATGACGCTGCACTGTCAGTACGCTTCTCCATGTTTGTGATTGGTCGAATGCTCCAGATACCACCCCTTTCATGTGAACGCGCACCTAACTAGATAGGACACGGCTGGCTTGAGCGATCCACTTGATAACCCGCGTCGTAGGACCGTTTAGCGAGAGCGCGTATGTTTTGGATTAGGCCAACCGGCTAACTCAAACATATCCAGGTTAGGTTGAACCAGCTTCGTAGTACAGGCCTCTGCTCTCTGGATACACCGTCTCTATTTACAACACTTTTCCTAGGTTGAAAAGTCAGGTGACTATTAAAGTGATATCGTATGGTACGGTTTATGCTTACCTGGTTGTATGTCTCCAGCAGCTTCTCGTGGTCGGTGATGTTCTTCATCTTGTGCAGGAACCAGCGGTCGATCTTGGTGAGCTCGTACAGCTGATCCACCGTGTAATTGGATCTGAGCGCAGACGCCAGAACGAAGATACGCTTGTCTGTGGGAGTCTGCAACTCCTGGAGAAAAAGAGGGGCAGAAACCAGGCATGATCAGGTATCTTAATGGATCAATTAATCTCTCCTCCATCCCCACTGGACTTTAACACCCCACACACACTCAGATCCAGCACCAGACACTTTCCCCGCTGCTATGGACAGTCTTGCACTAATGTATATTCCCAAAGATATTGAAGTGACTGTTATTTTGTATCTATTGATTGTTGTGCTTTTATTAAGGTCTTAATGTGTGCATATGTATGATTGTGTAAGTTTACATGTTTGTATTTGGGATTGTGGGAAACGGTATTTCGATCTCTCTGTCTCTACACACAAACTGAAAGATTGACAATAAAGTTGACTTTTGAACTACAACTTGTATTTTGTTGGTTATATCTCAGCTATGAGATCAGATGACCTACTGAAATAGCAAAACTTGTAATTTAAACACATGTATTCCTCTGTAAACAATGACCCAGTAAGGCTTCAACAGAATATTATCTACCTGACAGTATACCGGCTCAGTAGCCCTTCAGCACCATCTGTTGGCCCAGGTTGAAACGTCATTATTGTGCAACTGCACCACCTCCATAGACTGACCAGTGACTTGTCATATTTACAGGCCTTTTCCCGCATGATTATAGTTTGTATATGAGTTTTGATAACTGGGCTTAACAAGTCAAAGAGGGAACAGTTGTCAACAAGCAGTACGTGACTTATTAAGTCTTATTATTTTCTTTCTTACCTCTTCAGAGACGGGTTTGATGGTGTGGTCAAAGCCGACACAGTTCTCGTCCACCATCCTCAGAGCTTTCTGGAAGGCCTCCTCAAAGCTGCGGCCGATAGCCATCACCTCACCTGTGGAGAAAAAGACCGATGAGGATCTACTTACAGAATTTTTTTTTACAGAATTAGAAAAACCAAGGTTCCTTTTTCCCAGCACCAAAGCATACTATAATTAATAAAGATTCAGTGTCTCTCACCAACACTCTTCATGGAGCTGCCGATCGTGGTGGAAACCCTGAGGAACTTGCTGAGGTCCCAGCGGGGAACCTTCACCACACAGTAATCCAGACTGGGCTCAAAGTTGGCTGTTGTTGAGTTGGTAACAGAGTTTCTAAAAAAAAAAAAATTACGGATTTTTTTTAATATTGAATCACACAAAAAATACTGAAGAGATTGATGCAAAGTCCAGAAACAAAAATCTAAAAATATAACGTTTTGTAGATTACATTTGAAAATCAAAAGTGAACAAAACACTGACATTACAATAAGAGAATTTGAAAATCAACCAAAAATATTACAGACCCTAAAAACACATTTCTAACTTCTAGAGGTACATTTTGAGTAACTTGTCCCTAGACAAAAGTCTCATATAATAAACATTACTTTATTAGTTCCAAATTTAGATTTTTCTTTTGGTCTCAGAACATGTGAACAGGCATTACACATGAGAATATATATATATAAAAATCATAAAATAGACATGGAATGAAATCAAACGTAAAAAAATAAAGAGTAAAAAAAAATTAACTGTAGAAAAAAAAGATATATCAATACAGTAAAATATTAATACACAAAAGAAACACATAAAAAAAGATTATTGCTGAGTTTTCTGATTAATTAGCATTTCATCCATTCTAATTTAAATGAGATACATACTTCGGGGAGGAGGCGATGCCGTACTGACATTTATTATTTATTATTGACCTTTTTGTTTTAGATGACTGGTTATCTATTTATTTGTTTATTTGTTTGTATGTCTGTTTGTCTTCTGTCCGTGTGGGATTGGTTTGCCCTGGTGTTAAGCAGTATTCACATTGTTACTCTACCTATCTTTCTATAAAGTGAAGATTTGTTGAGCTACTTTTGATACATGCTCTGAGAGAATAACTGTATGCTGTTGAAAAAACCCAATAAACAAAGTTAAAAAAGAAAGAACAAATGAGATACATACTTG